TACGCATCGCATACGTCACGGATCTTCACGTCTCGGCTTTCCTTCCCGACGCACTGGCGCATTCTGCTCGCCGCGTCGGATCGGCGGAGGCGCCAAATTTTCTCGGGAGATGGCGGTCGCGTCGTAAATGAGAACCTCCTCGGGACTGCGCCTTTAATTTACTCGCGCGAAAACCTGCAAGAGTTCCAGTCACTCCTGTAGAAACCTCCATTTACTCTCTTCGTCTTTCTGCTATTATTATAATTATTATTATTCGCGGATTTCGCGACGGCCTTCATCGGGGAACGAGACGAAGCTTGGAGAACGGACTCCCCCGTTCGGATTCGCCGCGAAAAAATTTCTCGAAGCCGATAGAAGAATTCTCCGTGGAATCGGCTCTCGCTTTCCGTTTTGGTATCGTCGGATAGGAATTGGATGAGGAAATGCTGGGGGTTGCCAGGTTGCTACTAGATTCGCAGGTTCGTCGAGGTGCGTAGATTTTCCCCGTAGTCAGATGGCAAATCGACCGGGTTCCGTGGTCGAATGGTTCCGAGCGAAACGTGACGGGGGATGGAGTCCGTGAGACGGGGGATGGAGTCCGTGAGACGGGGGATGGAGTCCGGGCGGCGGCAGCGGGCTCTTTCTCCCCCGACAGAGGATTCATTTGCTTTGATGGGGAGCACAGCGGAGTGACACAGCGGAGTGACACAGCGGGTGACACAGCGGAGTGACAGCGGGTGACACAGAGGAGTGACAAAGAGAGCGACACACGCATGATTCGCCAGGAGATTCGGGTGCAGCACTCATGAAACATCTCGTGCCGGTCGAGTTCCGAGTTTCATCCGGCCGCACCGCGACGTACAGCCGAACGGGAATACCTCTCGAGCCGCCACCGTCCTTCCCGACTGCTTACGCGCGACTTCGCGATCGCGAGGGCCGGCGAACATCGCGGGTCGTCGGGTGCCGATCCGTGAACTTGGCAAATTCCACGCGATTTCTCTCGAGGAGGGAAAACGGTTTCTCGCGTTTTTTTTCTCAGGACGTTAGAAAAGTAGTATCGACTTTTCGAGCCCCAGGCCCAGTGATTATTATTATTTATTATTATTATTATTTACTTCCCTGGAATTTAAGCGGACGGAGTAGAAACGTCTCACCTTTTCCTTTCGGTCAGCCGAGCGGATCGCTGCCACGGTGCAGTCATAGAGTTCGCCGTTTTCTTCATTTTTATCGGTGCGCTTTACAGACAAATTTTCGCGATCGGGACTACCAAGTCAGTCTCGGCTTATCCTAACATGGATTTTCCCATTTTTGGTACGTAATATAATTATATATATATATTTATTTAATATTATTATCAAGATGAATTAAAATGTGTATCTGAGCACGACAACAACCAACCCCGACAGAACGATCCAAGCAAAAAAAGCTAGAAAAAAGAAACCATCTTACCTGTCTGGATTCGATCGCCGGTGCTAATCCGCTAATCCCCAGCTGCTAATCCCCTATCAGTTGGGATGGCCCGAGTGCCTCCAGGAATTCCTCCACGATAACAACTTTCCAGATAGAATTTCTTGAAACCGATGGAGCCCATCTAAGAAGAGCTTTCTTAGAGGTTAGCGAAAGAGGTCGGGCTTGGGGAAGCGAGGGAGACATCTGGCGGAGGCTGTGGGAAGGTCTGGAGTCGCTGGGAATTTCCAGTGGGTGAGGAGACGAGGTCGGCACCGACCGGATCCCAAATTTTCTTTCTCGCGTTTCGTTCGCTTCTGTCGAGATTTCGCGAAAAAAAATTTGGCTGATTCGGGCGAAATACTGCTGGGATTATTTTGAACCAGCTTTAACCGAAGAAAAAAAAAATGAAATGGACGGAGCGGAGCGATTACGATTAAATCGTGCACAGGAGAGCATTATGGTTTGTCATTAGCAATTTGGGACTTGGAAAGCGGCGGTTTCATTGCTGTCGCCCTTCTGTCATTCCTTCATATTCTGGGGGGGAGGGGGGAGGGGGGAACTCTTTCATTCAGGTAAAAATATAAATAAATAAATGAATGAACGAAGTCGTTATGCTTAAAAGAAACGGGAAGAACTTCCCTGCTCCCCCTCTAGAGAATCTAAGGTGGCAGCAATAATGTCGAAAGAAAAAAGTTGAGGATGAAGACCAAGCCCAGATATTTCCAGGTGACGTTTTCATAAAAATGCTTAAACTGCAGTTACTCACGGGAACTCGTAAAATGATTTCCCCGACGCCCTCGTCCTCGTCTGCAGCATCTCCTTTGCCCTTACCGCAGCGGCCGAGAAGTACCAGAACCTGAAGATCCATTTTCATCACAAGTTGAAGACCGCCGATCTGGAAGAGGGCACCCTCGTCTTCGAGGAGTGAGTTTGAGCTCGGATCGGTCAGGCTGAAACGTCGTCGCTGAACCCGAAATGACCCCCGCAGCACGAAGACGGGCTCGGACGTGACGAGAGAGGCGAACCTGATCGTGGGATGCGACGGGGCGTACTCGGCGGTCAGGCGTCAGATGACGAAGAGGCCGATGTTCAACTACAGTCAGGAGTATATCCCGCACGGATACCTGGAGCTCTGCATCCCTCCGGCCTCCAATGGCGATGTGAGACCTCCCAGCGTCGTCTGCTACTGACGCTGTCGTCTGCTACGGATAGATTGTGTCGTCTGCTACGGAAAGATTGTGTCGTCTGCTAGTGATCAGGGGTCAATTTTCTTGCAGTTTGCCATGGAGAAGAATTATCTTCACATTTGGCCTCGGGGGAAGTTCATGCTGATTGCGTTGCCCAATCAGGATCATTCTTGGACCGTGACCTTGTTCATGCCCTTTCAATTCTTCAGCGAGATCAAGGACTCCGAGGACCTCATCGAATTCTTCGGCAACAATTTCCCCGACTCCATTCCGCTGATCGGGAAGGAGAAACTCGTGAAGGATTTCTTCCGGGTCGGGCCTTCGCATCTCATAACCGTGAAGGTATCGGAATTTCTTCAGAATTTTTTTAATCCTCTGAATCGTTTAATGGAATATAATTATTCTAAGAAGTCCAATTTGGCCTTCAAACGCATAAAAGCCCATCGATCACGCCTTAAAATCAATTGGAAACGCTCCGTCTCCGTAATATACGCAGTATTGGTTACTTGCCTTACCTCTGGAAAAGCCGAAAACTGTCAGTTCAACAATGAAGGGGGGAAAATCCCCCCCCCCCCCCGAGACCCCAGTTGGCTCGGGAAGTCGCATACTGTATGCAAATGTGTTCCTTATTCG